GTTTTGTGTGTGTGTATTGCCTCCACCTGCGTCCCACAGTCTCACAGAGGTCAGAATAGGGTGTCGGATCCCCTGGAATTGGAATTACAGATGGTTGTTAGCCTCCATGTGGGTGCTGGGAATTGAACCCAGGTCCTCTGCTAGAGCAGCCAGTGCTCTTAACCGCTGAGTCATCTTTCCAGCCCCTTGTTCTTATTCTTACCATTAATACATACGCCTACCTGTCCAGCAACAGTTAGATGCTATAGCTACTGTGATAGATTCAGCCATGGTCCTCCTGGAACTCTGATCCTTGGGAAATATTTAGTAAGTAGAGTTTACCAAATGCAGCCGGACCATGCACGTTTCCATAGCGCCATATGGGAAGGACTGAGAGTTATATTCAGCCTGCCTTTGGAAGATGCTGAAGGCTTGTAAACAGAAGGCTTCCCTGGGAGATGGTGCTTTCAAAGCAGGGTTTAGAAGGTGGCATAGGAGTTCCTGTGGGAAGAACTATGTTTTATTCCTTCTCTCTCTCCTCCTTGCTCTCCTTTCCCCCCTTCTTTCTTGTTAGGTTTGTCTTCCTCCAGCCATGTCAAATGGAAAGCAAGGCCTTACATTAATTGGTACAGTTACTAGAAATGTGTTCTCTTCACAGTATCTTGATTTTTATTACTGTCGTAATAAGTCATTCTGTTCTTATTTTGTTCTCATTTTGATCTGGCTGTGATGACTTGTAGTTTGTCATCCTGCTTTCCTGAGCAGTGAGATTGTGGCAGGAGCCTGGAGAGGTAGCACCAGGGATCCTGGAGATATGCTTCCTTCGGCTGACTCTTCCGTGCTCTGTCCTCCCGTAGATGGGAAGCCTGTGTCCTTGTCTCCGCTGGAGTCCCAGGAGCACAGTCCCAGGTACACAGCCTCCAGCCAGCGGGAGCGGGAGAGCCTCGAGGTGCGGGTACGAGAGGTGGAGGAGGAAAACCGAGCTCTGCGCAGGCAGCTCAGCCTGGCCCAGGGCCGAAGCCCTGCTCACCGCCGTGGGAACCACTCCAAGACCTACTCTATGGAGGAGGGAACTGGGGACAGCGAGAATCTGCGGGCTGGCATCGTGGCAGGCAACAGCTCGGAGTGTGGACAGCAGCCAGCTGTGGAGAAGTGTGAGGTAAGGAGTGAGGGCATGGGAGAGGTGGCCACACAGAGGCCCGGTCACTGCTCACCACTGCAAACGCTGCCCAGGAGGACAGCCAGGTGCTCAGTGAGAGCTGGCTTTCCTAATTCAGTGTAAACCTGGCTTGGTCATGAACTTTGCTGAGTGGCCATCTAAGCCTTTTTTTCTTTTTAAATCTCATTGAGCCTCGGTTTCCCCATCTGATAAATGAGGATAGGATGGCCTATTCCGCAGAAACTTTAAAATAAGCATAATTGAACCACAGATTCCTCTGTGATTCATTATGAAATGGTCAGAAAATTCTACACCTCCTTGTCATCCTGGGAGCCCAGTTACTTAGACCGTTGTGAACAGCTCACTGGGGGCTGCAGCTCTATCAGGCAGTTCCTGTGGCCCTCACTCTCTTTTCCAAGTATGAACTGTCTTTGCAACTCACAACTAGAGTGGTACTGCTCATGTAAAGCCACGTTTGAATGTCTCACATCTTGATATCATTTCCTCCCTGGAGCATGCTTTCTTTCTAGTGACTCTTTGGAAACTTGTGATGCTTTTCTGTCTTCCTGCATGTGCGTGCCACCCTGGAATTCCTTTTTTCACGCTTACATGTTTATGTAGCGTACATACACATATGCACACATATGTGCACACACATATACTTACCACACATACATGTGTACACATTCTACACACAGGTGAACATGCATGCATGGTGCTTCAGTTGAGCTGACTTTCTGCTTTTCACTCAGTCCAGGGCACCTATCATGAAAAGGAGCTGTCCACATTCAGGGTGGATTTTCTACCTCAGTTAACTCAATGAAGGGAATTCCCCACAGGCCAACACAATCCAGACAATTCTTCAGGAGTCTCTTCCTAGGGGATCCTCCACTGTGTCAAGTTTGACAGTTAAAATTAACTATCACCCTGGCTAAGGAGACTGACCTTACTAGGAGTTGGAACGTGGATTGAAGGGGGATTGACTGCAGGAGGGGACTTAGGACACAGCCCACTGGCTGTTCATCAGGCCTAGAGGCCAAGGGAAGAGACACGGATCCAGCACACATGATCCCTCACTTCTGCCTGGTCCAGGAAAGGCAATAGTGCCCGTCTCCTGGTTCTTATGTGCTGCAGTGCAGGCAGGGGAAGAAAAGGTAAAGAAGCACAGATGTCAGGTGCCGCACCGCCTGTCGTTTCAGCCCACTGTAGTGCAGTCTGGCTTCCTCAAGGTTGGACTACCATTGCCATTCACTCCTATGGCCTTGTTTCTCTGTTGCCTCCCCCTGCCCCCATGGAAGTGGGGGTTCAGCAGCGTGGACAGACTATCTCGGCAGGTGTGGGCTGGCGTTCATTTTGGGAACCTCTGCTCTTGCTTGGATGAAGACTGGTCTGGTGTCTCCCTGGCTTGCTGCCATCAGGTCAATCCTATGGTTTCAGTATGAAGTGGAGCACCTCAGATTGAGAAAAAATTATCCCGTGTATAATTGTTTTCATTTTTACACCTTGGAGACTGCTTCAAGACCCAACTAGAAAGAAGGGAGGGCGTGAGACAGGAGCCAAGTGCATGTCATGTCGCAGAAGGAGGCAGCAAGCTATGTTTGCTGGGAGCGCCCTCTTCCCACCCTCCTCCCCTCCTCGGTATGAGGAAGGATGCTCAGGCTGCTTTAGAGCAGGCTTCAACTCCGCCTTTTACACAGCACTGTATGCAGAAGAACAGAGGCTCCCACGCTACAGGGCACAAGGCTGAATTCCAGCCCAGTCCTACCTCAATGGCTGTATGATTTTGACTAATACCTCTTTTCTGTGCCTACATTTCTTCATTTGAAAACTGGAATAAGATCACACCCCTGCCTCTTAGTATTTCTCTGGTGACAATTGGTATGGGAACTTGAGAAACTTGAAGACAGTGTGTATATCACATTTCCTTCTCAGTTATTAAAAAAAAAATCACAATGAACAATGACAAGCAGGATTTGTCTTGCTGATCTCTGTTTATGTCTGGAGGACCGGGTGATGTTAGGGTGTCAGTTTGGAGGCTGCAGATTCCTCTAGGTTTTGCCCAGTTAGCTCGGCATTTCCAAGCTTCTCTCATGGTCTATAATGAATACCAGAGCTTCATCCATGACCTCAGCAGGAAAACAAAACAAAACGAAATAGTATGTTGGACACACCACTTTCCCTTAAGAATATGCTTAGAAATTTCATAGGGGGCTGAAGATATGACTCAGCTTGAACAAGCCTGGCAACCTGAATCCTATCCTCAGAACCTACATGAATGTGGAAGGAATGAACCAGCTGCAGGCAGTTGTCCTCATGGTTCCATACATATGTTGTGACATGCAGATGTGCACTCCTCCTCCTCCTCCTCCTCATCATCATCATCATAACAAGAAATAAAAAATAAGATTTAAAAACCAAAATTTCATTCCTCAGGCTGGATGCGTATCTCAGTGATAGATGTGTGAGACCGTGAGATTGGTCCCCCCCCAGTAGTCCTCTGAAAAGAGTTTGCACACCTATGTTCCTTCTAGGCAAAGCTTAGTTGCAAGACTTCCTTTAGATGCCTAGGTGCAAGGGAAGCGAAGAAAAGATGCATCCATTGAAGGAAAATCCACCAACATTTTCTGTTGTTACCACTGAATATCCTCTGCCCTGTGGATCATTCCTAGACTTGATTGGGAATGAAAATCACTACATAACAAAAAATGTATATTTATGATACCTCTCCCTGGGAAGTCTGGGCGTAATGTCCATGAATGTGGGCTTTTTAAAAAGCTTTGTCCAGTTGATTCTGAAGTAGACTATTTGGAAATCACTGCTTGAAGGTAGTTTGTTGTTCTTTGAAATATAAAACAGCAATGTACTGATTTAGACCTTGAACTTGTCTCTTTTTGTTATGATTTGCACCTGAGAGGGAGTCCGTTCGGTTTTCTTCTTTGTGCTTTTTGGTCATGTTATTTCTTCTATAAAAATGTTCTTCTTGGTGGAACTGTTCTGTGATGCACTCTGGTCCTGTCTAGAGCTTACACACATGCATTTGAGGGCTGTCATATCTCAGATGGACTGGCATCCCTGTGCATTCACTTGGAGGCTCTGGCTGCAGCCATTTGCCCATTAGCAGTACAATTTCCATTTCTAGCACTTGGCAAAGATTTTTGCGCAAAGAGACAAATGAAAGATATCAGTCCCTGGAGTCAAAATAGAAACCTCACTTCATCCTGGCACTTTTCCATTTGAATGCTAAAGTTCATTCTGACATCTCATCAGAACACAGGACCACGTGGCCAAGGATACTGCCATCTTCTGTGGTCACACTGAAACTTCTCCTGGGTTTGACAAGTGTTTCTGAAAACTCCCCCGTAATGACTTCCAGGCTGTCAGCAGAGCTGTCTAGTGACATGAGGCCTCTCCAGTCCCTGTGCCCTTTCATCCTTCCCTAATTATGTGGCTTTCAACCAGTCACCCATTTTATTCCTGCTGATTCTGTTGCCCAAGCATAGCAGTTTCAGTGGAACAGGGTTTCCATGTGCCTCAGAGTTGAGTGGTCTGCTTTGATTTTCACTCTTGCACGTGTGCAAAAGCATGTGTGTTTTTCTTGCTTTTCTTGTTCTGGAATATTCTGGGAGTTGATCGTGGTGTAGCATAGAAATCGCTAGAACTGGAAGCAGGAATCTTTCCAGTGCCACTTGCTGGCCCTGTAAGCATGGATGATTTATTTTCCCTCCTGGAGTCTGTGGCTGAGATGAGAATGGCAGCTTCCTCTCCACAGCAGGCTTGAGGGTGAGGAGATTGTGGTGGGAAGCTCGTTGTGAAGGTCCCCTGTTCTGACTATGGGTGTTCTTCCCTGCTGTACTGGAGTAAATCATTTGATGGGCTTAAGACAACAGCAATGGGGTGTGTGTGTGCATGTGTGTGTGTACGTATGTGTGTGTGTGTATGTATGTGTGTGTGTAGTATGTGGGCACGTGTGTGCAAGTGCACACACCCATGAGTGCAGTGTAGAAGCCACAGGAAGACCTTGAGTGTCTCCCTCTCTCATTGTCTATGTCATTTTTTGAGACAGGGTCTTTTTTAAAAACTTTATTTACTTCTTTTTTATTTTATGTGTATGCATGTATTGCCTGCATGTAGGTAAGTGCACCCTACTGCATCCTCTCCTCAGCCCTGTAGCAGTAGGTAAGGTTCATAACATAACTTGTATCGATGACAGTCTGTTAGTTGAAATTGTCATAGAAGTCCAACCACTTTCAAGGAAGATGTGACTCACACCTCAACTCCCAATAGAGGAGTCAACAAATTTGTGGATAAACTTTAAAACCACTGCAGTAGGTACGGTTGCATTGGGAAATTGGTGGATGGTGCCTTCTGATGGCATATTGCGCCTTAAGGATATATCTCTCTCTCCCCTTCTACTCCTGGCTTTGAGCTTCATTTCCAAGTAGTTGCATAATTAGAGTAAAAGTTAACATTAACCCCTTGGGGAGTATCAGTTGCCCTGTTCAGTGTTACCACAAGTACCTGTTCGAACCCGTGCATTGTATTTTCCTCATTTTACAAATGATCAGCCTGTGGTAAGTCAAGGTCACATAATCATTTCGAAGTCATGTGGCTATAAAGAAGTGGAGCCTCGGTATGAACCTAGGCAGTTTGCGTCTAGAAACTGTGCTGTAAACCACTGTACTTGAATTCTGTACTTAGGGATCCTGGGACCCACACTCTTAGCACCTGATATACAATCCATATTATGTGTCTGGCAGGTGCCTCGCCTCCGAAGATGTAAGGTGACCAGTCGTGGTCTGTAGTCATCTTTCACTGTGAGTGTTCTTGCAACCCCACGATGGCAGTGTTTCTGTGATGGGTGTGAGGAAGGATGGGTCCTATAAGAAGGAGTTGGATTGTTTTAATCTCCTTGCAGATTGTATCTGCATTTGTTAGCACAGGAGGCTTTGACATTTTGCTGGAGGCATTAAGTTTGGAAAACTTGACACTTTTCACTCACG